TTTTCCTGTCTACCTGGCCAGTGCATCTGAGTTGAGAGTGCTGTCCAGAGCGGTCAGAATGAAGCACTGTGGGATAGCTCCCGGAGGCCAATAACGTTGATTTCCATCCACACTAACCCAATTCCGACCGCATAAGGCCAATTTTATCGCTAATCCCCTCGTCGGAGGTGGATTAAAGAAACCGGTTTAAAGGGCCCTTTAAGTCGAAAGAAAGGGCTTCGTCGTGTGAACATGTCCAGGCTAAATTCGATTTAACGCGACTAAAGTCGACCTAAACTCATAGTGTAGACCAGGCCTCTGTCTCTTCTGTGCCACTCCATGCTGCCTCCCTGCAGCAACTGCTGCTGCAGGGTCTTAGTGCCCCCCTTTTCCACTGCCAGGGCAGACTGACTCTGAGCCTGCCCTTCCACCTCAGACCCTTCCCTTTTCCCATGGGACCCTCCACCAGCACAGGGCTCCACCCTGCCCGCAGTCACTGCTCCTGCCCCATCCCTCACCCCCAGCTAGGCTACAGTCAGGGGCAACAGCAGGGGAGGAGGCACACGCAGCACCCCCCACACCCACCACGGGGGAGGTGAGGGAGATTCCTGGACCTGAGAGTGGCCCTAGGAACACATGCAGTGACAGTGGTGGGGGTGAGTGTGCTTCTGGGGGTGGGGCGGGAAAGGGGGGCTCCTCCCCTAGAGCTCGCTGCTGCCAGCAGGGAAAGGGCTCGGGGGAGTTCTTCTTTCTGGCTCCAGCCCCAGGGCAGCCTGCCTGCACCCCAAACTCATCCCCAGCCCTGCCCCCACCCCAGAGCCCACACCCCCAGTCAGAGCTTTTACCCGCCACCACACCCTCAACCCTCTGCCTGAGCCCTGAGCCCCTCCCACACCCCAAACACCTTATCCCCAGTCCCAGCCAGAGCCCTCATCCCCCTGCACTCCAACCCTCTGTCCCAGCCCTGAGCCTCTCTAACATCCCAACACCCCCAGCCCCAGACAGAGCCCTCACCCCCACACTCCTACTCTCACCCCGAGCCCTTCCCACACCCTAAGCCCCGCATCTGCAGCCACACCCCATAGCCCTCACCCCTGCACCCCATCCCTCTGCACTGCTCCCATTCACAAACTGCCTCCCTGGACCTGCAAACCCTTCCTCCGCACCCCCTCCCATCCCCAAACTCCCTCCCAGAACCTGCACCCTGCACCCCAATCCCCTGCCCCAGCCTAGGGCCTGCACCCCAGACCTCCTCCCTCACCCAAACTCCCTCCCAGAGCCTTGGGCAGGTGGGGGGTAGATTTTGGGCGGGGCGGGTTCTAGGCATCACCAACATTTCTACTAACCTGCCACCCCTGCCCCTCTTGGTCGGGAGTGGGAGGGAGAAGAAAGGATTTGAAGAGGGGTTTTGCATTTGCTAGGTGGGTGCTCCAGCCACTGAACAATGGTAGAGTCTGAGGGTGGGAGTCTTCAGTCTCTCCTGCCTCACTCTGAGCATGAGACCTGGCCCAGCACACAACCACCCAGAAGTGTTCCTCCTTGTTCTGGCTGTGGGACAGGAGTTTTTGTTCTTGCAAAGGAAATTCCCAGCAGTGCCTCCATAACTTCCTCAGCTGAACTCTGCACCCGCTGAGACTTTGACCATTATCTTCAATGATTGTGGTAACAGGATCCTAACTTTAAAGTGCTCTGTTCTATCTATCTATCTATCTATCTATCTATCTATCTATCTATCTATCTATCAATTGTAAGACAGTTCTGGGCAGATCCTCAGATTTCACAGCTCCACAGCGCTGCTGAGATGTTCCACAGCAAGTTTCCAGTGCATTGAATATCACCTCTTCTCCAACAGAAATTCATTAAACTGTATCAAGCACAAGGGCTAGAACTGCATAAAGCAGAGCTGTAACTTCAGAAGAAGCATTATCCAGTGGTAACTGGAGACTGGAGACCCGGGTTATATTCTCTGTTCTGGCAAACTTTCTCTATGCCTCAGGCAAGTCACTGCATTTCTCTGTACCACAGCCCCCATCTGTGAAAAGTCTCCATCTGACCCCGTTAATGTGCTGCCCACTTGTAAAGGAACAGCAAGCACATGGGCTGTTGTGAGTCAGGGATTCAGTAACCTGCAGTGATGACTTAGACCAGGAGAGCACTGTTTGCTGGCCAATCAGAACTGAGAACCAACTAACACTATTGGGTCCTGGTTAGACTCTTATCTGAGAACAGAGATGGGTTGGGCTTTTACCTTCAGATCTTACAGTAATAAAGTTACTGGCTTCACCAGAAACTCCAGTGTAGCAGGACAAAGGTTGTTTATAACTGAAGTAATTAAAAGGCAAGTTTCCATTTGGAGGATGAGATAGAAAATACAATGATTATTATGACAGCTATTGAGCAGTTCTCAAGGAGCAGGAAGCAGAGCCTCTTCAAAATTCTCATTGCCTTCAGCCAACTGGGCACTTGGAAACATGAGCCTGCTGCCGCCAAAACTGGCACACTAGGAGGGCTTCTTTGGGAGAGGATCTTTATCTCCAAACCATAATGTGGGTGTGGTAGGGACTGAAATCACACAGCATTCCTGTTCCTTTGCTACTTTCCCTTTCTATCTTGGTGAAGGCATCAAGAGAGACACATTTCACTTCAGTGACCAACAAAGAATAAATATCATTTTCGCAGAAATATGCAAGGAAAGACTGGAATTCATCTCTTCATCTCTGTAATGTTTTATTAAAAATTAATTTTGCAGCCTCATAACCGAAATAGTCACTGACAATGTAAGATAACTAGAGGAGAATGGATGAGGATTTTAGAAAACCTTGGAATACCAGGGAGATCTTAAAACTCGTCCAAAGCTTATTCCCAGGATGTATCAGGTAGGTGAAATCTGTCACTTAAATACCATCTCCCTTGTTCTTTGATATTTCCTAGTAATTATTCCTAACCTTGGGTGAATTATTAACTGCTAAATGATCCAATAATCCCAGGATTAAAATGTCTTACTCTGAATATAAACTTTGCTTTTTAACTATATATTCAAAATGATCTATGAGCTATTTTCCCCTCTCCTTTCATTGTTATTTAACACCAAACTATTGTGGTTATTTGATTTAAGAATTTATTTATTTCCTTTTCTATTTTATTCAAGAAAACTGGACCTGATCCTGCTCTCAATGCATTCAAAGGGAGATTTGTTATGAATTAACTAATTGTATATTTCTGTTTTGTAAAGTATGTTACAAACTCTTGCAAATCCAACTTTATGCGAAGTGTCTTTCTCTCTTGTTCCTTTTACTTAATAATTCTGTTTATGGGACTGAATCATTTTGCCTCTGATATGTTGAAAGAAAATAAATGGGTTAAAAAAAAACCCAATAATCTTTCTGTCTCACACACACACACAGTGTTTCTCATTCCTTAAAATGTTTTCTTCATTGATGGAATTACTACCAGTTTTTACACTGATCTGACTTCTTTTTTTAATGTGGATTTTTGAAGGGACATTCTAACTCCATAATATGAAAGGGTTCACTTAATAATGTATTTATTCCTTTTTATTTAATGTGTCCTCTTTAATGTTTGACTTTAATGTTAATCAGTGTGTTATGCTCATTATGATGAGTTTTTTCCCCCTCTTCTTTCCTATTGTCTAGATCAAGTTACAGTGAAGATGAAGATTCTCTCATTCTGCCACAGCTCCAGAGCCAGCTCCCCTCTCCCTGGGTTTATTGTTTTCTTCCTTATTTGTTATGTTCACAAGATGGAATCAGGTAGGAATCTGCCCTGTGTCTGCTGTTTCTTAGAGGATTTATTTAGGCCCCGAAGTGTCTTAAGAACATGCTTCACTCAAAGTCAATGTAACTGCTCACAGTGTGTAAACTTAACCACACAGCAAGATCAGCACCTTCATTATCCATTGTTCGCTCTGATTGTGTTGCTGCTGCTGGGTTATTTTATTTCCTCATGGAATAGTGCACACGTCTGTCTCTTCACACAGGCATTTTTAAGAGATTGTCAAGGATGCCCAAAGCATTGGATAGACACTTATCGAAGAGTTTAATAATGACAATAAATAATAAGAATAAAATACATAAATTAACTTAGTGGGTTTCAGATGTAAAAAAGATCAGAGCCCTAATTTGAGACTCCCATGTGCCCAAAAACAAGACAATCAAAATATATTGATGTCACATGACTTTTTAATTGGGCCTGTTAGCTAATATGTTAGATGTAATATACACCATATTATTAGGTACTATGTGCACGGTAGTGTTGGGAAGTTAACTGAATATATTATGCTCTTCCCATAATTCTGTTCACCGATATCAAGTATCCCACAGCACTTTACAAAGCTGAAGTTAGCATTCACCATAGAAAATAAGAAGTCTATCAAAGCCAAGATACATGACTGGTATGTCCTAGCACTGGTTGGGATGTACCTCCACACCTGCCTGGTATGGAAAGTGGTGTCCAAAACAGAGATAAGGAAAGTTAAAAAACAACAAGTTAAGGAGCTGGTGGGTTGGATCTTGGGTGACGTATAAAGTGTTTTCTCACTTGTGAATAGCCCTGGTATAAATATAAGTGCGTGTGGGGGGGGGGGGGGGGATGTGTGTATTTTTGAGGCACACCTTCTGTGTAAAGTGAGCATGGTGCAAAATAAGAATTGCTTCCCAGAACAGTAAGTTTATCTCCTTTTTGTAGTGCACTGTTTTGTCTTTAGCCAATAATTTTGGCTAAGTTTGGTTATTTGGTCTCTTGATCATATGAAGTACTGAACCATAATAATCCAACAATTGGCTCTAGCAATAGGGCTATATCTCAGAAATACCTTGGTGAAAGAACTACCAAATATGGCCCACTAACCCTACCCTTATTCCTGGTGAGGCCCAGCAAATTTCATGGCAATGTCAGTACGCGTGTCAGTTTGAGATCACTCAGAAAAATGGGCTGTTAAATAGTAAGCTTGTCTCAACTATACACCAAAAATGTCCATTACCATTTCTCTGCCTCAGTTTCTCTGGTGTGTGACTTTATCAGGGACTGAACACACCTGTCTTCAGCTTCCCACCCCATGTCAGCACTGCGTGCCTGTGCCATGCACTGAACCTACCAATTCTCCGCTCCCCTCTCTGTCCAGTGCTCTGTGCCTGGGCCATGCTCCAAGCTTGTCTGTTATCAGCTCCATGCCCCATCTCAGTGCTGTGTGCCTGTGCCATACACCGAGGCTGAGTGTTCTTATAACAGAGCCCCAGTCCTGCTGCCCATGAGCGCTGCTCTCACTTAAGCATTTAGGCTGAAATGTTCCATGCCGGGTGCCTGCTTCTGGCTGAACTTTCTGGAAAGTTTGTAAAAATGGAACCTGTTGGCTGTGTCCTTCATATCAAATTCCCACTCTCCTCTGAGCTGCTTTTGTTGTTCTTGCCCTGGTGCATTTTCCAGCAAAGTTCAGAGTGATTGGACCCCGTGCCCCTGTCACTGCCATCCTGGGTCAGGAAACTGTGTTACCCTGTCACCTGTCACCCCGGATGAGCGCTGCAAACATGGAGGTGAGATGGTTCCGCTCAGACTTTGTATCCTTTGTGCACCTATATCGTGATGGGACGGATCAGTATGAAGGGCAGATGCCAGAGTATCGGGAAAGGACAGAGCTTTTGAAAGCCGGACTCACAGATGGAAATGTTCCCTTGAGGATTCTCAATATCAGACTCTCTGATGAAGGAGAATACCATTGCTTTGTTCAAGACGATACTTTTTACGAAGAAACTATATTGGAACTGCTGGTAGCAGGTCAGTGGCACGTGTCAGTTTTAGCTTTGTGTGGTCTGCAGGCTTTGTTCTATCCTATTACAACAACAACTGTGACTTCCTGCTTGTGAAATGTTTTACAATACTGCAGTTTATGTAAATTTCAGCAAACAGCCATTTTTATACTTGGGAGAATATGCTAGAAACTTTCCTGACATGTTATTAAAAACATTTTCAGGACGGTCCAGGCACTTTTTTGCCCAAAGGAAATTCTTGATTGACTCCCAAAGGGGTCTTCAGTTAAGAGGGAAAGGACTTCTGGACACATATGACCTTTCAGTTGCTCTCCAGTCATTTCTAGGATGTGTGGGTATGGTGGGACTGACCGACTTTTATGGCCTTCTTATGGGTTCACTCTTGGTTGTTACTTAAGTGTAGTCAAAATCAAATGCAGCCTTCTTATTTGCTGAGACTGTATAATGGTGGTGCTGGGGAGGGGAAACTATGTATTTACCACTTTTAGACAAGACTGAGTATTTCTCCCCTGCTGCTTTGACACTGTAACCATGACACCTGTTAGATTTTTTTTTAAATAAACCTATCTATCCAATGCACTAATGATCAGATTTTCAAAAAGTTCAGATCTAATTCAAGTATCTAAATGAAGTGGTCATATGTCCAAACGTGCTCAGAACTCAGTTGCTCCTGTGTCGACAAGGGCGGCTCCAGGCACCAGCGCCCTAAGCGCGTGCCTGGGGTGGCAAGCCGCAGGGGTCGCCCTGCCGGTCTCCAGGAGGGCAGCAGTCAGGCAGCTTTCGGCGGCATGCCTGCGGGTGGTCCGCCGGTCCCACGGCTTTGGCTGCAATTCGGCGGCGGGTACGCCAAAGCTGCGGGACCGACGGACCTCCCACAGGCATGCCGCCAAATCCGCGTTACCAGCGGATGCCGCCGAAGGCAGCCTGCCTGCCGTGCTTGGGGCGGTAAAATACATAGATCCGCCCCGTATGTCGAGACAACAATATCTCCCATTGACTCAGTGAAATTATAGTAAATATTTGTTCATATTTTTGTGTGTCCCTGAGCACTGGGATTTCAGACATTCCAGTTTTCATTTATCCCTTTTAGTGACTACCCACATGAATTAGTGCATTCTCATGTGAGTAAGGGATCCACAAACTGTCCCTCATCCCTTCTGCTTTATTAATTAACATATGGAATTAACACCTTTATGTCTTTTCCCCCTTTAGGTCTGGGCTCTGATCCTCTCATCTCTGTTGAGGGTCACCAGGATGGAGGGATCCAAGTGGTTTGTCGATCAGCTGGTTGGTACCCAGAGCCTGAGGTGCTGTGGAGAGATCTCAGTGGGCGACATTTATCATCACTCTCTTTAACAACATCCCAAGGGGATAACAACCTGTTTGAAACAGAAACTGCTCTCATTGTAACAGAACATTCAAACCAAAACTTGTCCTGTTGCATTAGGAACACTGTTCTCAATCAAGAAAAGGAATCAGCAGTTTATATAGCAGGTCAGTTACCATCCAAACCCCACACTGAACTCACCATCACTAGAAACGAAACAAAACACAGGAAGAAAAGAACTGAAACATCTGTTTTGGATATTTCATAATCCATGCACAAACACAGAAAATAGTGTCTTTACAGGATTACATTTTAAGCAATTCTATTCCCTTAATTGTGAGTATTCAGACTATCAACATTTTGAATTTCATGTAAATTTAATTTTAAGTTCGACTTTCCTGATATTCTAGTGCGCGCGCACACACACACACACACACACACACCCTCCAACCTTTTTGAGAGGGAACTTTCACTCAATCCACTGATGCAGTAGGTTCCTGTAACCTTAAATTCACCTTAATGACTTTTTTGAATGTGATAAATTTTGTACTCTGGCTTGATTGTGATCTATAGAGCACTGTAAACCCACAGATATATATCCGCAGATATCCTCATCATTTTGGGAGGGTTGCAGATTGGATGTGGATGCCAATTTTGTATCCATGCAGGGCTCTAGTGATCTGTTCACTTCACCAACTTCATTACGTGTGTGAAATGTCACCTAAGTCATGTGATGTTGTTTTTACTGACATTCAATGGGACTTGCGCTCCTTAATTTACTTTTGGCCGGATCCACAAAAGGACTCATTTTACCCCTTGTCTACACACAAAGGATGGACTGATTAACTAGTTAATGGATGACACCTGCTTGTGTGAACATTTCTTGTATAAGTTTCAGAGTGCCCTAAATAGATTTAGCTTCAATCAATTCCTTATCAACTTCAGCTAAATGGAGATAGAGCACTAAGAAGCTGATTTATGGTTTAAGGTTTTGTTCATCAATTTATTTAAATTGGTGCAACACTCCTACGTTGTCAACTCTTGACCAATTTAAGAATGACCCCATAAGAGGGTTGCCCCAGGTTCACTAAATCAGAGCACATACCATGTGCGGAAAAGACATTAGGCACATTTGAAAATTCCATCCTGTTTAGATGACCGAATCACTGTGAACACAAGAACAGCAAATGGAAATTAGTTAATTTGCTGCACAAGTGTGCGGACAAATTGTGATTATGGTTTTTCCCAATATTAGGGGGTAACTGTGGATTTTTCAAAAATATGCTAATTAATCTGGCAGTTTCTGAATAATGCTTACTGCTAAGGGCCAAATTCTTTTCTGGTATAACCCTGTTAGAGTCAATGGGGTTTTATGGGCAGAGAATTTGCCTCTGATCTCTGTGGCCCTCTGAATAGCAATGAATCAAATCAGGGCTGTGTTTTCAAGGATAAATCAGTGGTAAAGCTGTGTTGATTGGAGCCATATTTAAAAATAGTTTCTGGTCTTTTGTGTAGTGTAGACATGGCCATTCTTTCACTCTTAGCTCACACAAATCCTACTGGGCACTATTTATGTATTTGTGTGAAAAAAAATCTGCTTTTAGTCGCCACTTCCAAACTAAGGCAAGCCCTGGGTGTTTTGTTTTTCAGATTCCTTTTTCCCGAGGGTGAATCCCTGGATGGTGGCTCTGAGTGTGATCCTGGTGGTTTTGTTTGGTTTCAGTGGCCTCACTGTTTATCTGTTTAAAATGAAAGGTAAATATCAGAGGGAGAAATATACTGTAAATAAAGTTTTTTTTCTAATAAATAAAGGCAATTTAGGGATTTAACATGAAAAGAATGTGTGATCTGCTGATCTGGTCTTAAATAAAGAAGAATGGATGTGAATTTATTGATAGAGGATGGGGGCAGAGGTGCAGAGGAGAGTCTGAGGCAATAGAACTGAATCGGATCATAGCAGATACATCTCTGTTCTGCTTGGTCCTCCATCTCCCTCTCGTCCCAGTTCTCAGGCAACTATTGCTTTCTGTGTCTGGTCCCACTTGAGAGAAGGTTCTGCAAAGCCTAGCCTCTCATATTTCACCTCATCTCTCTCTCTCTCTCTCTCTTTTTTTTTTTTTTTTTTTTTTTTTTTTTTTTTTTTTTTTTTTTTTTT